TTAACTTTAACCACGAAACCAGATCGGCCGACCTGTAACGTTACACTCTCACTCAAAGGATGGACGATCTGACAGGATTGTTACTGTGAGGTGGATCACATCTAACGTGTATAGTAAATGATGTCTAGTCATGATGAAGATGTATATACATTTCAATTTCAGCAGGCAACTATTTTTACAGCTACATTATTGTTCCAGCCACAATTAATCACAACAATGTACTGTATATACAATTACAAATAATTATATATAAATCGTCAGTTTGTTGTTTTACACAAATCTGTAGATGCGCCCATAACAACAAAAGACAATACTTTATTGAACCTTTTCTGATAAGAAGTGTGCGCTGCAAATGCGAGCATTTTTGACGATTGTTTCTGTCCAGTCTGCTCGTTTTATCGTGTTTAACCAAAGCTGTCGTTGTTTTTTTTTTTCTGGTAGTGGTAGCAGATATGCGATCAAATTTCTAATTTGAGGCTGTATTACATCGATTATAAGATAACCTGACGTGCATGATGCGCCATTTACGGGTATTTCCCGGTATTTCCCTAAACCGACCAAGTACTGGTCACTGCAGAGCCAAATGCCCTCCAGCTCCCCCTCTCTGGATGTCCAGCTCCACCTCTGTGTGAACTAATGGGTGGAGTTATGTTTAGCGATAGGGTAAGGGGTAGGGTTAGGGAGTGGTTGGGTGTCTAACTCCACCCATTACATCCAGCGAGGGGGAGCTAGAGCTCCAGCTCCTCCCATTTGGCTCTGCAGTGAGCATCCTCTCCTTTGTTTTGCTGCCTCCAGCTAGCGCTGTGACGTCGGCTGACCCTAGTTACCTGTGGTTGGCCTGGCCATGCCTCACTCAGAAAACAACAGGCCAATCAGAAGAGAGGCTCATGAATATTAATTAGACAGGCCAAAATCAACGTGTTCTCAGCAGAGCTCCTGAGAAAGGAGCTGTAAAAATATGTTTAGATGGTTTTTGGTACTTATACCGCAAATATATATTCTTAAGGACATCAAGTCTTAAAATAGAACTCCAGAAAGGCGTAAAATGTGTGACCTTTAAATGATGTACACTCACATGAGATGAAGACTTGAGTCTTTAGATAAAGCTGTTTTGTTACTGTCGCCCCTTCATGGGCTCCACCATGTTGCATGGAATCCAGATTTTGCGAAGGAAATAAATAAATAATAGATAGTTGTGTCTTTGTTTTTCTCAATTCAAAGAAAACGTCAGAATTGCGAGATTCGCAAATCTGAGAAATCAGAATTCGAACTCAAAATTCTGACATTATTTCTGTTTTGACATTTTTTTCTGAATACTTTGTTTCTACTCCACTAGTTTTACACTTAAGCTGTACATGCTTATTCATGTGCCATACTGTATGTACTGATGCAGTGGTTTGGGTTCATTTGCATATATATTACAGTAATATGGGGCACTTTTTTGCAGTCACGACTACACTTAGTTCAGACCAATAAATAAAAAATGTAAATCGCATGATGACCCAACTTGTCAAAATAGGCTAGATTGTGTCCCAAATTACCCTCATTCCCTCACTTAGTTTGTATTTTCTGGTGAAATACAAAATAACACAGAACTCGTGATGGAGTCTGTTGTGAAGATGAAGTGAGGGAGAGAATCACATGTCGCTGAGGGGATAGAAATAGCTGCAGTCTCTTGTCAAAACAGTTTATTCCTTTTCTCTTCATATTGTCCACTCTAAGTAAACAGTCCTCACTGCCATACACACTCATGATGAGGGTGTGTGAGGACAGCAGTGGGAACAGCTGGAGACAGTGAACTGTTATCTTGATAAACAAGCAGCCAAGTCACTAAGATTAGGCAAAGTTAACCAATTCATTGCCAAAGTTTCCTCTTAATGTCCTCAATTGTTTGGCATAACTGGAACTAAATAAAGCGTATGTGCTTTTATTATGCAATATTAAAACTATCTAGCCTATTAGATATGTGCACTTCAGTGGTGTACAGTGTTTTTTTCTTTTAATCAAATGTAAATTCATGTCCCAGTCACATTTTCTTGGTTAAATAAACATTACTTACATTATCAGGAATAAAACAACAATTCTATTTTATATTTTTACATTAACAATGTAATCAATATTCTATTTATTAAAGCCAATGAATCTCATCAAGTGTTAGTGTTTTTAAGCATTTTACATATATTCCAAAATAATAACTCATAGCAGTAACAATTCATACAATATATTTTATTTGTGAACTTATGTTCAGCTATTCTTTTTAATAGTTAACTTTGAACTATTTAAGATTTTTTTTTTCTGATCATCAGTCATCAAATCTCAGTGAATATTGGTCACAGACATGAAGATTTACTTTAAAGGGGTCATATGATGCGATTTCAAGTTTTCCTTTCTCTTTGGAGTGTTACAAGCTGATTGTGCATAGATAAGATCCCTGAAGTTGCAAAGACTAAAGTCTCAAAACCAAAGAGATATTCTTTATCAAAGTTAAGACTGTAAAGTTGCAAAGACTAAAGTCTCAAATAACCACGCCCCCCTAAAACGGCTCGTTCTAACACGCCCCCACATATCTACCTCACTATGTGGAAATATTTGCATAATGTGCCCAAATCAAATACACAAAATAATGATCTTTAAAAAAAGCATCATATGACCCCTTTAGATTTCACCAAGCTGATTACTCACTAAAAACTCCTACAGATCATGATTTCAGGCCATTTTAAGTCTTATTTTGACTTAACAAAGTGGTTATATCTAAGCGTGTGAGTTGTTAACTTACTTTTTTAATTAGTCTTCCCATTAACGCCATTATATTGTTCATTCAGACTAATTAGGGAATGCGCACAAACACAAGAGGTGGGATTTATCGCATGAACCAATCACAGCCGAACATAACCAGTCATATCCAATGGAGGCATTGCATCCTCTCATGTGACTTTCCCCCATTTATTCTCAATTACCCCCCACCAAAGTTGCAGCATGCTTTAGGGCGAGCCCGGTCTCATGAAAATGCGTATAAATAGTACGCCAAATAAAAACAAAAACTCATGGTATTGATACGCAAAAATGGACTTTGGCGTGCATATAATACAGTTTTCCTGTGCATATGATACGAAATTTGTTGGCGTGCATATGATACGCAGTTTTCGTGTACATATGATATGCATCTACCCCACAACCCTAATCCTACCCATCGCGTAGCATATACAATCCAAAGTCCATTTTTGCGTATCAGTACCACAAGCTTTCGTTTTTATTTGGTGTACTATTTTACGCATTTTCATGAGATGGGGTTGTTAGGTCAGGGCTGTCAAACTCAATTCCTGGAGGGCCGAAGCCCTGCAGAGTTTTGCTCCAACACACATACCATGTAGTTATCAAATTAGCCTTAAGGATTTGATTACTTAGACCGGGTGTATTTAATTAGGGTTGAATCTAAACTTTGCAGGGCTCCGGCCCTCCAGGAATTGAGTTTGACACCCCTGCTTTAGGGGGTCTGTTAAAACTCAGTGGGCTCAGGGGAGGCGAGAGAGTCTCGGACTCCTGCTGTAATATTACCTGCTGGTGTCGCTGTTGGACAGACACTTTTTAATGTTACATTTTATAATATTGGCATTTTTATTTTTGTAATAATTTTTTTTCTCATCCAGTATTTTGAGAAGGCACTGCCTCCCTTGCCTCCTCAGAGGAAATGCCCCTAGTGCACATAACTGAAATGTGCCTAAAGATATTTTGTGTTCATAAGTCATAGGCGTTTAGCACATCTGCTCAGTTATGAAACATTAAATGGTTGATCTCTCAGTTATCCACTTCATTCAGTCCTTCAAAGATGTTTTAATTACATCAATCAACAAACAAGCTTGCAGGTTCAATTTAAAATGTTAACATTCATTTTAAAACACTTCTGAAAATATGGTCTCTATTCATCAGAGGTTAAAAATGGTACACTACAGTGTTATATTTAGTACTTCAAGCACAGGGGAAAAAGACATGGAAACAAGAAAATGGATTTCTCTGTGAGGTGGTGTATGAAAATACATTTTGTGGAAATGTGCTTTGACAGTTTTCAGGCAAAGGAGAACTTGCGGGGAGCAAAAATGAATCCTAATCCCCCCCTAAAATCTAATTTTTTAAAATGTAATTTTACATCATGTGAGACAGTAGGAAGGAAAGTTTGGGACGTGGATCAGGACGTGACAGGCCTAGATTTGCATCTACATCCCTGTGAGAACGTGCACTAACTGGTTTGCTATGGTTCCAGAAAAATTATCTTATTCTAACAAATGTTAGTACTAACATAGCAATTATTGAAAGTAATACACAAATGCATATTGACTTATTTTTATCTGATTATATCAGTTATATCAAAATCAGTCCAATAACCAGATTCATTCCTTATACCTGGACTAGACAATTTGGCAAAGGGTTTTTTAACTTGAAATTTTAGTATATTTGTCCTAATTTAATCCCAATATTCTGAAATACTGAAAAACATATATTTGGCTAAACAGGTCTTGTGTGTCTTGATACACAGCTGAATGAGAAACAGAATCTACCAGACACTGAGTGAGAACAGACACTGAAAGAAGAAATACACTTTAAATAAACCTTGAATAGAAGTCAATCCAGGGAAACTCAGTTATTCAGTTTTTCAGCATGTATTTTTCCTCTGCCCTGTATTTCCTGTTTTCAAGGAAGCATAGGTCAAAGATGTTTCGGCAGATATAGAGACTAAGTCATAATATTTCTGTTGAAGTCATATGACAGTCTTCTCTTAGCATTTGCAGCTAACTGCTGGTTGGATGTTGGGAGATTTGGAGAAAATCTGGCACTGGTCTTCAGACGAACGGTCACGCATTCCTGAGGGATAAAAGGATGATGGTTATTTAAAACATATATTTAACTGGTTTTGCCAGTACCAAGCTCTATTTAAAGTAGTGTATATAAATATGTTGCTATTTCAAATAATATTACAAGTATTTGATGTAGCAAAAGCTCAAAAGAGTTAGGTTTTAATATCAAGGAAGTTTTCACTAGATAGTTTCCTATTTCATTACAGCAAACTCACAGAACTGGGACGTTCCAAATGCAGTGACTGAAGGAGAACTTTACGGGAAAGAGACTCCGCCCTCTTATATTTCACACCAATCATCCGGTCTAGATCCTGGAGGCCATCAAGTAAGCTCTGCTCCCTTTGGGCCAAAGCAAAATGATTAACTCGGAATTTTATAGCATGTAACGAGAAAAACAAATACTATTATTGTATGTGAAATGATCAAAGAAAGATTTGTTTTTACATTATCAGTCATCTCAAGTGGATGAAACACAATTTCATGCATAACAGTCAGTCCTTTGTGCTTTATGTGATGCAATGCAGTAATATTTTCTATTACCACAAGGTGGCAATAGAAGACAAATATATGTCAGGGGTTTTAAAACTGTTCCTGAGCCTCCCCAGCACCGCACATTTTGGATGTTTTTCTTATTCGCTGACAAGTTAATTCAGCTGTTTTAAATAAGGGAGGCATCCAAAATGTGCATTAATTTAATAGGCTCATGGCCTAAAAATACCCTTAAGTATGTCTTTAAATAAAAATATTTTAAAAATTCATAAAAGTAACTAACTTTATAAATAAGTCCCAGTTAGTGCAGCCCAACTACAAATAAAGCAACATACTTGTGCTCCCCTGTATTGCCGTTTTCAGCTGGTCCTTGCAGAAACTGCTTTAGTGTAGGAATGTATTCAGGATCTTCACAGGGGGACTTCTCAGAGGGAAAGGCCTCTAGAAACACATTTGACTACACACAGACATACACATACAGTAAGGATCACTAATCATCAGCGCATCGACAGTGATGAAAATATGTTTTAGTTACTCATTCATAAAGTTACAACAACATTGTAGAATTTGAAGATATATTAGTATGATACTAAAATTATAAAATGAGCCATTAATTATTGTTTGTTCAGGATGAGTGGGTCATTAAGTGATTGTATAAAACGGCTCTCTGGAATATTTCTGGTCGATTTGTTTTAGTATAATGACTGATTAACTGTGTAATTGATTTCCTGCTCATATCACACGGTCTCTTTTATCTCACATACTGCAATCAATTACATTTACTTAATTGTTAAGTAGTGTAATAATAAGTGGGATAACATGCATTCATTAGGTCAAGGTTAGGACAGATTAGGACACCAACATGAAGGCGTTGACAGCACATACTTCAAAACTGCACTTTTTTCAGTCTTTAAAATACTTGAGAATAATCTAAAAACATAATTCTTATAACAGAGCATAAACATTTACCACATTATGGAGAGGAGAGAGTGGAAGGTTTGGCTTTTCGGTAGAAGTCCACCACTGGCCACCAGGCACTATCTTCTGCTCCACAGTCTCCCGGCTGAAGGCGGTCCATGTGCTCTCTGACTGCTGGAATGACTGAACTGCAGTCCAATCAGATGCCCAGGATGCGGGTTCATTTGCATCAGCAGAACTTGTGTGTTCCTCTGAGAGGAGATAAAGGTTCATGTAAGTCTTTATAGTTTCATTTTCAAGGCTGTCACACAAAAACTCTTTACAAGACCAGTAGGCACTATGTTATTGGAAAGATGTTCTGCTTTCTGTGATGGAAAGGTTTCACAAACTCTAGAACATGTGCAACTGACAAGTGGTAAAAGTGCTTAACCTAACTTCCATTCTCTGTCTTTTACACTATGTGAACAAAATGTCTAAGTTGGTATTTAAAGACCACTGTGGAATGGTACGACATAGGCTTATTAGAAAAAACATGCCTCTACCTACATTTTTGCAAAACTTAAAAAATGTAACTATACATTCAATTCACCAGAGCAGTAAAACACCAATAACTTATATTCCTTTTCACACAAATTATGATAACTACGCCAGATTATTGATTCATAAAGACTTTTTTTGCTTTGTTTATGTGGCTCCATGTAATGACCTCAAAACGCTTTTACTATAGTGCATGATTTGTAAACATATACATTTTCTTGTTTGCATCACATAAGCAGCTTCATATTAGGGCTCTGCAAATAATCGAATGCGATTTTCATGCGCATCTCGTCAGTAAAGCTGGTTCTGTGATTAGTAGTAAATCTCCAGCACGTGCTTTTAGATGGAGCGGCATTTACTACACAAAGCCGTAGATCACTGACAAGCTACGCAATATCGCGTTCTTAATCGGCAATGAATTGCCTGCGATTTTGAACGCGATTTTCGCTTGTCAGTGATCTACAGAACCGGCTTTACTGACGAGATGTGCATGAAAATCGCATTTGATTATTTGCACAGCCCTACTTCATATGTATGGTTTTCCTGACATAGTAAACTTGCTCGTTAGCTCACCTGGTACAGCATTACACTTGAATGCGATGTGAAGCACTCAGGTACAAGACACTTAAAACACTAGTCACAATAAAAAAGCAAAAAGACTCATAGACGCAAGCTAAAATGGTTTGGTTGCTTCAGCAAATGTGTTTTATCTCAAGGTTTATAGTAGGTGGTACATTATTAAGGCGTTAGAGCAGGGGTCGCCAACTGGCGGACTCCGGTCCGAATCCGGACCGCGAGATGAGTCCATCTGGATGATTAAACTTCAAAAGGCTATGATTTTATTGAATAAATATGAGCACTGCACGTTTCAAAGTCAGATTCTTTGTGTACTGCCGTTACCAGGGAAACCACTATATTTCTGCCATCCTCAAAGCGCCACCTGCTGGCAGAGAATGAATTTGCATTTTCAATAAGCCCGTCTGCTGTTTTTGTTCAGACCAATGTGAAAATCAACCCATGTTTTTTACGCAGCAAACATGCAGAGTTGTAAATGTGAACTAGTGGATTGACAAAAAGATAATGCATTATAAAAATTTAAACAATTAAGACAGTAACATATATTTATATGTTAATTAATATAATAATTGATTGCTGATAATTGTTTAAATTAATATAATAATTTATACTTTTGACTCCATTTTCTTAAAAAATGGTTGAAATGTGAAGCTTACCATTTTATAAAACTTTTTGTTTTTGTGAAAACCTGTGTATGAACTGTAAATCATGCTTTTTACAGTAATTTTAATTTCATTTGTTCAGGTTTTAAAAAGTCTTAAATATGAGTTTAAATATCCTGCAGATACCCTGGTCTGGCAAAAACCATCAATTCATGTTTTTAGGGATATAATTGTCTGGACATTGGCTGGTGAGTAGGGTTCATTACTGGACCTCAAACTATTTTAGTTGAAGACCCCTGCGTTAGAGCATTAACCTTTAAGCACCACTCTCCAGGTATTTCATTTCTGATCTGCCACAATATATATAACAATCAATATATTAAAGTGTTACCAGATTCACATTCATCTGTTTCAGACAGAACTGATTGCACTTTTAGAACCACTCACTGGACATTCAGTTTTAAAAGTGTTATGAAATGTGCAAGAAATGTCCCAACAGGAAAACAGTGAAGGTATGTTAAATGGCTTACAGAAATAACTTGTCATTTTAAAAATTCTACTTGTGTGACGTCATTTCAAAATGAAAAAGTAGGTTAAACCTGTTTATGTTCACTACCCGAATCACCTGGATTTCACCTCTTTAGAGAACAGGATTAATCCTGTGGATTAAGATTACACAGTGGCTGCCAAAAATGGAATTAAATACATAAAATTATTAAATGGAAAAGTGTGGTTTTGACCAAAGATTATAGGTAGAAGACATACTAGATGAATAAACAATGCAGTGTTTGCCCTCTATTTTGATCAAGGCATTCCCTCAAGACATGCTGCCTTTGGCATTGTGAAGGTTGGCCTCCCCTCTTGTCCCAATGGCCTTGTGTTTGCATGTCTTTTTAATGCTGCCTCCTGCCTTAGGCTGGTACACAGCAACAGGGGGAGTGAGTGGTTGGGGGGGTAGGAATTCCAAGCATTGCTTTAAATAATGAATATCTTCACATGAGGTCGGGGGAAGAGAGGGGGTCTGCAGGAATCCAGGTCAATCCAGACAGACTATTTAGTACATTGGGACTGCATGTTTATCTGCTCACTCAAACCCAAACAAAGCCAGGTTTCTGCTCCAGAAGAGAACTTACTGTACCTTCTGACAAAATGTATTTATTACCCTGCTACTTTCAAGACAGCGTACTTACCACAGTTGCAATCCTCAGCCAAATGTTGGACCTCACTGAATCCGTCCGTCCACAGCTGCTCTCCACCTGCCTGCATGAAAGTCCCAAACTCATCCTCCTCCTCCTCGCCCACATCAAGAGACCCGTCGTCAGCGGCCACCTTGTCCTTGTCGTCAACTCTTGCCGGCTCTGATAGCAACTCTGAGTTCACCAGAGGCAGCAAATATCCACCTCTCGCCCCCACCTCCCCCTTGCTTAATGCTGGGATGGCTGTTGCTATGGCTGCAGTGGTGGTAGGGGCAGGATTAACCAGGGAGTGAATAGTGGTTACCGTTATATTGGTTGTTGGTGCGCTAAAGCCTCGTGAAGAGGATTTGTCAGACTGCTGAACTTCAAGTTCTCCATGCTCTGTGATTAATTCCTCCCAATGCTGAGGTGAGCACATGGACGGCCTCCTCTTCTTTTCTGTAGTGCTACATTCAACACCCACTGGAGTGCGGCCCTCAGGCACAACAGTATTCTTTGTGTCTGGAGTCCCATCTCTCTGTGTTGTAAGATCACCGGGCTCCACTGAATGTAGATTTCCACGGTTCAGTAGGCACTCATCTGGCCTGGCTTCTTGATTTTTCTGAATGCTGACAGGGACTTTGGAGGGAGCTATCATGGGAGAATGATCCATGCTTGGCTCAGTATTACAGTTTGTTGTGGGCAATTTGATTCCTAGACTGTCAAAGTTAGTCTCAGATGCTACAGATGACCCTAGGTATGGCACATCAGCAACAAAGTTTTGAATGTTCTGGCGATCATTTGCATCAAGGTCACATTTATTAACCTCAGTGTCTCCGTGTGCATCACCATTGGCACAACTGGATTCTTTTTCAGAACAGTTATTGGATTGATTAATACTCACTTAGTTCACGATAAAATGTCATGTCTTCAGATAAAATTAGAGTTCACTATTTGTTCTTAATTTTCTTACAGGTTTTTCTATATTACTTGTGTATATACTACAAATTTTGAGTTTTTATTTGTGACAATTAAAGGTCAATACAAAAGTGCAGGTTCACTTAGTTCATTAGTTCATGGTAAATTGTCTTCAGATAAAATTAGAGTTAATCCATTCCATACTACACACACACACACACACACACACACACACACAGACAAGAATTGCAAATATTTCATTTTCTTGCATTGACTAAAACTGTAATACGTATTGTAATGTTTTTAAACGGTATTATACTACAATTTGTATATTATTACAATTACGTGTGTACATTTACATTTATATGTTGTAGTTTAATGTATTTTATAATTGTATACATACTGTAACAATAAATATGAAATACAATAATATTAAAAAAAATTCAGTATTTAGAATGCATTTTATTTGTATACTTTGCTATAAATGTACTTATAATTATTTATACTTAGTTCAATATTTAGTTATTGAATATATATTAAAAAGATGGATACTGTCATATCACACCAAGAAAAGATAGTTATTTATTCGTTCTATTTCTACTTAATTTAATAGTGTTCATATATTTATGTAGTTATAATAACTGTATTTTATAATATATTTTATTTGACAATGGGTATTTTTTTTCAGTGCTAGTATATTTAATACCTAAGTTACTGTATAACGAATCTTGTAAAATCATTTTTTCTTATGTTTTATTTCGCATGTCACAAACTATGTCATGATGTTCAGAGGACGCTGCGTTACGTAGTCTCCACACGCACAATACGTGATCACTTCACTTGCACCAAATCTATCATTAACTAACACTTGCCCACACAGATGTATCTAACATGAGGTAACCTCGAGGAGGGGACAATTATCTGCATCGATTCTTTCCGTGGTTTGACATGAAAATATCCATCTTTTTGAATCATAAATAACCCATCTTTCTTTCTTTGTATCCTCTCACCTTTACAGTGTGCCAGTTATTTTCCTCATACCGACGCGATGTCACGAATCGCACAATTCCAGCTGTCGTACGTTGTGAAGATGCTGCTGGGCTGAGGGATTTTGGCTTCAATCTTAATGAGGATTTTGGACGGTCTACAAATTAAGACATCCATGACGCCACTTCGTTTTAAGACAGCATTTCCGAATACAGACCACCGTAGATTTTTAGTGTAACCTATTAAATCTCATGTAGGTCTCATGTGCTCCGTTGAAGTGTCACTCCTCCGTGTCTCCTCCTCATAGCGCAGGCTGCTTTCACTGGCAATGCAACGCAGAGCCTCCGCAATCTAGTGCGTGCACTCAGCTGACCAATAGCCGAGCGTGCAGCACGCTGTCGGTGCTTTTACGCTTACGCACGAAGAGGTCACGCACACGCGGGAACACATTGCTTCATTTGAGCTTTTACATTTAGATCTTCAGTCAGTTCTGGTGAGTATGGGCTACCTTGTGTTGTCAGTCACTGTTTGAAACCCTCTTGCCCTCTCTGTTTTCCTAGACTTCGTTTAGCCATATAATTGGTAGTAGAAACTCAATATAAAGACTTGAGAGACTTTTGTGTTTATAACTTGGTGATCTATGTTTATACAGTAGGCACTGTAATTATGAGAATCATTCATATGCAAACTGTTTTACTCACACTTATTTTATTTCGAATTTGTATCACTTTATATACTCAGTGGAATATTAAAAGGAATTTTTTCAGAAGACTTTTGTGGATAAAACACAGACAACAGACTATTTTTATGACACATTAATCATGCGTTTATGGTGTTTTCATGCTGACTTGAATCCAAAGTAATTTTTTAATGTTTTTTTTTTACTATGTAGTTTAAAGGGGTCATATGATGCTATTTTAAAGATCATTATTTTGTGTATTTGGTGTAACAGAATATGTTGACATGCTTTAATGTTCAAAAAACATTCTTTTTCAAATACTGTACATTATTGTAGGTCCTTCTCTCTCTCTCTCTCTCTCTCTCTCACACACACACACACACGCACACGATGCGCAAAACTCCGCATTACCTCCTCTCCTAGGTTCACGAAACGGTGGGCCATAAAATGCATTGCTCTTCTGTTGTAAGTCATCTTAAAGATTCCTAAATGCATCTACTTTCGGAAGGCCAAATAAAGTGCTTCTGCTTTCGCCTAGAAACACACAGTGTCTCCCTGACATGCTGCTTCAACACTAACTGCGGTTACTGAAACCACGCCTTCTTTCTTTGCGTGCACATTTGGGCGGCATTATGCAAATATTTCCACATAGTGAGGTAGATATGTGGGGGCGTGTTAGAACGAGCCGTTTTAGGGGGGTAACTTTGATAAAGAATATCTCTTTGGTTTTGAGACTTTAGTCTTTGCAACTTCAGGGATCTTATCTATACACAATCAGCTTGTAACTCTCCAAAGAGAAAGAAAAACTTGAAATCACATCATATGACCCCTTTAATCTGGATGTAGGTTTCATCATTCATGAAACATTGTTAGATATGTTCAATATTAATGAATATTTCAATCTTGGGGAAAGGCTGCCTGCTGTTGTTTGTTGATTTTTCTTGCCATGTCAGTATCAGAATTGGACCTCTACTTGTCATGTATTAGTGCTGCTACATTAGTAGAATGATGAGAAATCGGTGAAAAAGATCAGGAAATAATTAGTTACCACTCATTAGAATGTTAATATTATATTTGACTGTTCTATTTTTGCATTAGATGGAGATGGAGCATCATCTAAATTACTGTTTCAAAAAAGCAACACATACAAACATGTACTTAAACCTGCCTAAAATATGATACATATACAACAGCATTGCTTGCATGTAGACCAATTCCACCACCAACACAAGAGTTAATAAAAAAAAAGAAAAGAAAAGAAAAACATTTCACACTCAGTGTTTTCAATTCAGAAGAATTCAGAGCCTTTCTCAATTCTGTACCAGAATTCAGTGCTATCTGGTACAGCATGTCACAGTGTGAATAAAAAAAACAACAACTTAATATTGTTTGAATTGATCTTAAAAGTGATAAAAATATGTATCACAAAAATACTCAACATTACAGCCTTTCATTTTAGTGTCTTATCTGTACAGATCATGCATATAAATATGTAAAAATAGTACATGTATTTCTAATAGTATTTAAAATAAAAACAATTCCATAACAACAACCAAAAACTACAGAGACAAACCATGCAATGAAAAGGCAAAGCAATATTACCAAAATGCTGTAAAATTCTACAGCATAAGTGTAATTCAAGACTGCACAAGAAAAGCGTGAGCAAAAAAACAAACTGTTTTTAAATACCTTTGCATCTATCTATGATACACAGATTTGTGCCTATGTTGTGTTTATACAGAGTGGCAAGTTACAAAAGTTGGCAAGTTACAAAACATGAAAATAAGGTCTACAATAAATAATATTCTCAACATTTTCATTATGTATAAGTTATGTTTTTCTTGCAAAAGCTGGAGAAAATATTTTTGCTTTCTTTACTTTAAATAGAATAAAACCTCCAAGACATGACAATATGTCACAGTTCTGTAACTGAGATTCTTACTGTTTCGAACTGGTACTTTTTGTCTCTGTATACTTTGTTGTCTTAGTCACTATAGTAAGAGTTCCCTCTGTTTTAGTAATCAGATGTTCTGAGGGCATTTCACGGGTCAAAAACTCTACGCTTGGCATTTTCACATAGTAACTTCCAGAGGCTTCCTCGCTAGAGCAAGGAAGAGAGGACTTGCGTCCTTTTGTAGAGCTTTCTGGTGTGATATTAATGATGCCAGTAGAATGGGGACTAAGGGTGACCTTGGGTACTTTGAACCATGTTGTCTCCTCTCTTTCTTTACTCTTCGTTACAGAGACAAATCCAGCTAATACTGTGGGTACTGGAGACTCTGATCCCTCCCTTTCTGCCAACATTTCAGTCTTTGCTTTCGAGGATGCTATAGTGCTAATCTTTCTCACCTCCTCATCCTTCTCTGTTTTCTTCCTGAGACCTGGGAATGACATTGTGCCTGATATTGTCTTTGACTCCTTGCTCTCTTTGCTTTCACCCGAGGCCTTGTTCCTGAATTTCAGGCTTGTTTCCATTTGCTCTTCCTCACTTGCATCTTTTGAGTATTGTGAGAAAAACTCCACTTTAGGCATTTTAAGCTTTCCAAACATTGATTTTTCATATTTGTCACCATTTAGACTTGGACCTGTTCCATCATCAGACCCACTTGGTGTTACATCAAATGATCCTCTCTGCCCAGACGAAAATGTCACTTTTGACAATTTAAGCTTACCAGTTTTTGAATTTCCCTCAGTTTCCAACTCATCTTCACAATATATTGCTTTCTCCTTTTCATTTGATCGAGACTTGCCAAAACTTGGCTTCATTTTGATCTTTGGCTGCTTGTGCTTCTCATCTACAATTTCTGCACTTGCTTCACCACCTATACTAGCAGTGTTTCCTATTTGTGGATTCACCATAACAAATACAGCTTTTGTTAATTTTGGCATACGTGGGCTTTCATACTCTGCCTCAGAGTCTATGTTTATAGAGTGATCTTTTCCCTGAGATGATCTGATGTTGGCTTCAGGTGAACTTAAAGAAGGCAGAGGTATTCCTCAGACCCACTTGGTGTTACATCAAATGATCCTCTCTGCCCAGACGAAAATGTCACTTTTGACAATTTAAGCTTACCAGTTTTTGAATTTCCCTCAGTTTCCAACTCATCTTCACAATATATTGCTTTCTCCTTTTCATTTGATCGAGACTTGCCAAAACTTGGCTTCATTTTGATCTTTGGCTGCTTGTGCTTCTCATCTACAATTTCTGCACTTGCTTCACCACCTATACTAGCAGTGTTTCCTATTTGTGGATTCACCATAACAAATACAGCTTTTGTTAATTTTGGCATACGTGGGCTTTCATACTCTGCCTCAGAGTCTATGTTTATAGAGTGATCTTTTCCCTGAGATGATCTGATGTTGGCTTCAGGTGAACTTAAAGGAATTTTAAGTTTTTAAAAATTTTGGAATTTTGATTTTACCAGTCTGCTTTTTATCTTCTTCAGAATTATTAGTGTCAGCTTGGGCAGTCTCAATGTCAAAATCAAGTTCGGGAATCTTTGGTGCTTGTAAATCAGCTTTCAAGTTTGCATCAGTTCCTCCTTTTAGAAATTTTGCATCCGTTTTTCCAGACTTGTTTATGTCGTTTTGTAATCCAGATACTTTTCGTTTTGGCATTCCAATATTAAATTTCGAACCTTTAACTTTTGGCCCTTTTATTTTTTCTTTCGGTGCGGCAGGTTCCAGATCAGTATCTGGAAGTTCAATCTTCTTTTTATTCTTTTTTCCTTCTCTTGATAAGCCAAGATCCAGCTCTAGATCCATATTAGGCATCCTCATCTTTTTACCCTCTTTATGCAAATCCTTAAGGCTCACATCAGTGGAAGGATCTGACATGTCTGCTTCTCTAGACATTCTTATATCTAGTTTTGGAATTTTAACATTTGACATTGTGAATTTTCCACGCCCTCCTCCAGATTCTCCCTCTTTGGTATCAAACTCTCCAGTTCTACTTTCTGGTAATGATATGGCTAACTGTGGTATCGTAATATCAGGCATTTTAAATTGCTCACCTTCTACTTTCACAGACCCTGAAGCCTGAGGGTCATCTGATTTGCCGTATGGTAATGATATATCCACTTTGGGTATTGTTATTTTCGGTAATTGAAAGTTGCCGCCTTGTCTTCTTTTCTCTGCACTCTCTGGTTGACCTTGAGATGATACATCTACATTTGGAATTTTGATGTCAGGAACCTTGAATTTCCCTTCTTTGCCACACACTACCAGTTCAAGGTCAATAGTGTCCTCTGTTTTACCATGAGGTAATGAGACATCTATTGTTGGTAGTTTAATTCCAGGGATCATGACTTTACCTTTTCCTACATCTGGTTGAATTTCTGGAACAACATCTTTAGATTTTATTTTAGAAAGGGATATATCAGTTATTGGCATCTTTAATTTTCCACCTTCTAGTTCTAAATCAGGTGCATGACTTTCTTCTTTGCTTTTGTGAGGTAGCGATACATCTATCTTAGGCACCGTAATGTCTGGCATTTTTAATTTACTCCCTTTCACTCCAAATTCTAAATCAGGATCATCATTTTTCGTTATTGTTCCATGAGGTAATGATATATCAAGACTGGGCACGGACATTTTTGGTATTTTTAGTTTTTCACCTTTAATGTCAGCATTAGATGTGTCATGTTTTGTATTTGGTAATGATATTTCCACTTCTGGCATTCTTATTTTACCCTTCCTTCCAATCTCCACCTCATGGTTATCTGTGCCACCTGTTTTTCCATGAGGAAGTGAAATGTCTACTTTAGGTGTCTTGACATGGGGAAGATTTACTGTACCCCTACTACTATTAATGTGTAAGTCAGAAGAGTCTACTGATTCATTAAGTTTTAACCTAGGCAAGGAAACATCCAAATCAACTTTTGGAACTGATATGCCAATTGTTGGCATCTTAGGAATTTTTAAACTGCTCTCATAACCTCTGATATCTGCTTCAGATACATCAACCTCAGTTTTAGGAAGCAATACCTCACATTCTGGAATATTTGCTGTTGGCAATGATATTTCAACTGCTGGCATTCTGACCTTTCCTTTGTTATCCACATATCCAGGCATAGCCATTTCCACATCTTTGAGCTTTGCTTTAGGAATAGGTGTCTTGAATTTGGGGAATTTGAGCTTGGATTTGACCTTAACATCAGGACACTCTACTCTGATTTCTGGTATTGTAATTTCTCCAGCACCTGCTTTTATCTTCATTTCAGCGGCAGTACCAATTATTTCAGTATCCTTTTTAGATGTTTCCACTGATGGTGATGTTCTTTCCATGTCCAAATCTATAGATAAGTCAGGACTGTCTAGTTCTAGTTTGTCTTCACTTTTCAATTTTCTGCCAAATTTAGGAAGTGATATTTTGGGCATTTTCATAGAGACGTCTGGAACATCAAAACTTGCCCCAGATGATGGCCTTCCACCCTCCGCCTTAAGAAGTTTAATGTTTTCTCTATCACTGCCCTTTCCCTTTGAAAGAGTAAAGTCCAGGTCAACTTTAGGAGCAGATATGTCAACAGTTGGTATTTTCACACTTGGCAGCTTGATGTTCCCACCTAAAGTTACTTCAGGGACATTTAAATCTCTAATTTTGACACCAGTAGCTTTGGTCGCTATATCAGAATCATGAGTCAGTTTAGGTACTGAAATGTCTATGTCTTTCTTCTCTGACCAAACTTTTAGTTCATGATCCGTTAGTTTCATTTTAGGGATAGAGATAACAGTGGGCATCTGAAATCTTAAACATTTTTTAGTGTCATCATCCAGATCAAGCTCTCCTTCTGTGGCTCCTGGCAGAGATGTATCTATAGAGGGCATGTGAAACTTTCCACCCTTGATATCGGGATATTCACCTCCTGATGGTTTTAATTTAGGCATTTCAAATTTTCTTCCTTTTCCTGCATGTCTTTCAACATCTACATCTCCTCCTGCTCCTCCTCCTGGCAGAGAGATATCTATAGAGGGCATGTCAATCTTTCTACCCTTGATATCGGGACCTTCAACATTGATTTCATCTCCTGATGGTTTTAATTTAGGCAACGAAACATCTAATTTAGGCATCTCAAATTTTCTTCCTTTTCTTCCATGTCCTTCAACATCTACAGCTCCTCCTGCTCCTCCTCCTGGCAGAGAGATATCTACAGAGGCCATGTCAATCTTTCTACCCTTGATATCGGGACCTTCAACATCGATTTCATCTCCTGATGGTTTTAATTTAGGCAACAAAACATCTAGTTTAGGCATCTCAAATTTTCTTCCTTTTTTTCCATGTCCTTCAACATCTACATCTCCTCCTGCGCCTCCTGCAGGCAGAAAGATATCTACAGAGGGCATGTGAATCTTTCCACCCTTGATATTAGGACCTTCAACATTGATTTCACCTCCTGATGGTTTTAATTTAGGCAAAGAACCATCTAATTTAGGCATTTCAAATTTTCTTCCTTTTCCTGTATGTCCTTCAACATTTATATCTCCTCCTGCGCCTCCTGCAGGCAGAAAGATATCTACAGAGGGCATGTGAATCTTTCCACCCTTGATATTAGGATCTTCAACATTGATTTCACCTCCTGATGGTTTTAATTTAGGCAAAGAACCATCTAATTTAGGCATTTCAAATTTTCTTCCTTTTCCTGTATGTCCTTCAACATTTATATCTCCTCCTGCTCCTCTTTTAGGCAGAGAGATATCTACAGAGGGCATGTGAATCTTTCCACCCTTGATATCGGGACTTTCAACATTGATTTCACCTCCTGATGTTTTTAATTTAGGCAAAGAAACATCAATTTTTGGCATTTCACATTTTTTTCCTTTTCCTGCATGTCCTTCAACATTTACATGTCCTCCTGCTCCTCCTCCAGGCAGAGAGATATCTATAGAGGGCATGTGAATCTTTCCACCCTTGATATCGGGAACTTCAACATCGATTTCACCCCCTGATTGTTTTAATTTAGGCAAAGAAACATCTAATTTAGGCATTTCAAATTTTCTTCCATTGCCTTCATGGCCTTTGACAGTCACATCTCCTCCTGTTCTACCTCCTGGCAGAGAGATATCAATAGAGGGCATGTGAAACCTTCCATCCTTGATATCAATATTGATTTCTCCATCTGAAGATTTAATCTTAGGTGAGCTAATAACAAATTTAGGCAAAATTGTTTTTTTGCCATCAAGGTCAGTGTTTCCTTTCACCTTCCTGTTTGGAAAGGACATTTCAATAGATGGCATATTTAACTTTCCTCCTTGGATCCGAGGAGCTTCAACTCCAATTTCTCCTTCTGTAGCTTTTACTTTTGGCAATGAAACATCGGTTTTTGGCATTTCAAACTTTATACCTGTTCCAGAATGGCCTTCTATATCAGTGTTTTTATCTTTAGGCAAAGAAATGTCAAGGGAAGGCATGTAAACTTTGCTTCCTTTTACATCAGGTCTTTCTACATTGACTTCCACAGATCTTGTTTTAATCTTTGGAAGTGACAAATCAACTTGAGGCAAATGAAACTTGCTCCCCTTACTGACATTAACTTTGCCATCTCCCTTTACCTTTCCTTGTGTAAGAGAAATGTCAACATCTGGGATATCTATCTTCCCACCCTTCAATTCAGGTCCTTCAATATTTATTTCAGTCCCTGCTGATTTTATTTGTGGTAAATTAATGTTCGATTTTGGCATTTGAAATTTTGTGCCCTTTTTGGTTTTTCCCTCCAGACAAACATCACCCTCTGTTTTAACCTCTGCTGAGGAGATATTATAAGAAGGTATATTTAACTCACCACCTTTGAATTCAGGTCCTTCCACACTGAGTTCCCCTTTGGTTGATTCAAATTTTGGTAAGGAAATATCCAGTTTTTGAATATCAAACTTTCCTATTTTTCCTGAATGTCTCTTGAGATCAATATCACCTGTGTCAGTTACAAATGATATATCAACGGATGGCATGTTGAATCTATTGCTGTCAGGCCCTTCAATACTGATGTCACCTTGTGGTGACTTAATTTTTGGCAAGGAAATCTCAACACCAGAATCTTTCACTGCAGGCAGTGAGATATCAACCTTTGGCAGTTCAATCTTTCCACATTTACCAGAGGGTTCCACATTAACATCTCTTTCGTCTTTATGTGGCAAGGAAATATCCATTGCTGGCATGTGAAACTTCCTATTGGTTCTTTTAACATCAAAATCAACTTCTCCTGATTTGAGTTTAGGTAGACTTATATCAGATTTAGGAATCTGAAACTTATCTCCCTTCTCAACCTCAAGATTAATCTGTTCATCTGTTTTTCCTTTTGGTAATGAAATTATAGCTCCGGGGATGCTAAACTTTCCTTCATCAGGACTCTGAGAATCGAGTTTACCCTCTGGCAGTGACATATTTAGATACATTTTGGGCATGTTTGCGTTTCCAGAATGACCCTCGACCTCAACACTGGCCTCTATTTTTCCTTTTGGTAATGATATATCAATGGGTGGCATTTGGAATTTCTGACCTTTGACCTCTGGATCCTCAGTATTGATTGCACCTCTGGATAATTTCAATTGTGGAATCGAGACATCTAGATGTGGCTTTTTAAATTTGCTTCCTTTCACTGATGGGTCTCCAATCTCAATATTTCCCTCAGTTTTGCCTTTAGGAAGTGAAATTTCAATTGATGGCATACTCAATTTTCCTGCTTTTATATCAGGCCCCTCAGCAATGGCATGCTCAGGTGATTTCACTTTAGGCATTTGAATCTTTTCCCCTTTTCCAAAGTGGCACTCAACATCTGTACCTGCCTCTAGTATGTCTTTCGGCAAGGAAATGTCAACCTCAGGCCCTTCTATATCAATTTTCCCTTGTGGTAATTTCATTTTGGGGAGGGAAATGTCTATTTGTGGCATTTTCACATTTGGTCCTTTCTCAGAATGGCCATCCACCTTTGCTTCACCTTTACCTTTTGGTAACGAAATGCTAATATTTGGCTTGTGAAATGTTCTACCTTTTGGTCCAGGTTCTTCAACTATGACTTCACCCTCAGGGGATGTTACTTTTGGAAGAGAGATGTCTAATTTTGTCATTTCATATTTTACCCCAGTACTTGCATGTCCCTCAGTATCAATGTTTTTTGCAGTCATCTTTGGTAATGACACAGCTAATATAGGAAGACCTGACATTTCTATCTTGGGCACTGCAATGTCAGGTTTGGGGAGGAAAATCTTATGCTCTTTTTCCATGGATCCATCAATGTCATCTCCAAATCTTTGTTTTGCATCAAGGTTTAGCACTGGTAAGGATGTGTCAGGCTTGGCTGTGTTGATTTTTGTTCCTTTTACATTGCAATCAGGAACTTCAACAACTTTGAATTCTGCCTTGCCCTTAGTCTTTGGGAAATGCAAGTCTAAATCCATATTTGGTGCTTTAATGTCAATCTTGGGCATTTTCAGTTTATTTTCAGATGTATCAGTTTCTTTCCTTGCCTCTCCATCAATTTCATCTGAATGACAAGAAAGTCTTACCTTTGACAGTTTGAACTTTGAGACTGTCCCCATTGTATCGGAGACATCCAGATTTATCTTCGGCATTTTTATCTCAGGACTCTCTCCTTTTCCTTTAACCTCAAGATTAGGAACATTAGTTTCAGCTTTGTCCTGAGGCATGTTGAAATCACACTCTACTGATGGAGGCTTAAATTTGGCTTCTAGTTCTTTCACCTCAAAACTGTCATTTGAAGATTGTACATCTAACTTTGACTTTTTAATTTTAGGGAAATTCATTCCAAATTTTGGACCTTTCGTCTTGACCTTCAGCTTTGCTCTAGAGGCCTCTCCCTCATGTGGTGAAACATCTTCATTGACATTCCCTTCAGCCACAGCAGCATCCATGGCCTTCATCTTTAGAAATCTGATCTTCCTTTTCTTCTTAGTACTAGTAATAACACCCTCCAGATGTTCTGATCCATCTGCAGTGGCCTTCCCACTTTTCCTCATCTTGAACTTCGGGAATACAAACTCAACATCAACAGTACTGAGGTCTGATCTACCAGGTGAGCCCTCAACATCCAGCTCTGCCTGTGCTGTTGCTTTTTTGTTCTCTTTCAGTCTTTTCAATCCAAATCTTCCTCCTCTCTTTTTCTTGGTTTTGAACGGTTTCACGCTTTTGACGCTCTGCAAGAGAAAGGTTATCATTCCTTCTAGTTTCTACTGTTGTAAGTACTTTTGTTAAAATTAATTCACTTTGAGAAATACTGTGGATGTTAAAAAAGTAATTACATTGTATAGCAATATTTCAGAATGTACCATTTTTTGCAACTTGGCCTTAGGTCCTCTGAGCTCAAGATTTTGTGCACCTGGACGTATGCTGACTTCACTTCCTGGCACAGTCCTCTTCAAAAAGAAAGACACTTTGTAGGGTTCTGCACATTGAAGAATTTTTAATGCGTCCTCATATTTCACGTTATCAAAATACACCCTGGCACTTAGAAGTTGATCTCCTGCAATAACACATCATCAAAAATGATTTATAATGATTTGTCTTTGTATTCTTATTACATCTGGAAACAAAATTAATTCAGTACACCGGTACTCAACATGGAAATTTTGTCCTTTAATGATTATAAGGTTAAAGATGCTTCTCATGCTTGTCTCTTCAAGGACAGTAGCTCAAGTCTTTACAGTATTTGACATTGCACGTTTTAAAGTAAAATACAGTCCCTTGGTACCTTTCTGTAGACTGAGGTGCTTTGCTGCTGGGGAGTCTTTCAAAACCTCTTTGATGAAGATGCCTTGCTCCCCTCCACCCACAACACTATACCCACTAGCTCCAACCTCAGCCTGTGTTTCAACAACCACTTCCACAAGCTCTGAGAACTGGTTTTCCTTCTCCACCTGCTCATAAAGTGTACAAAATCAACTTTATTGTCATTTTTAGCATATTGCATGGCAATGGCAAGGTAAGTAGGTAAATGACAATTAGATAATACAGTTGCAGCAGTAGGATATGATTGATTGTCAGTACTTGAGTGATATATATATACAGTGGGTACGGAAAGTATTCAGACCCCCTTAAATTTTTCACTCTGTTATATTGCAGCCATTTGCTAAAATCATTTAAGTAAATTTTTTTCCTCATTAATGTACACACAGCACCCCATATTGACAGAAAAACACAGAATTGTTGACTTTTTGCAGATTTATTAAAAAAGAAAAACTGAAATATCACATGGTCCTAAGTATTCAGACCCTTTGCTGTGACACTCATATATTTAACTCAGGTGCTGTCCATTTCTTCTGATCATCCTTGAGATGGTTCTACACCTTCATTTGAGTCCAGCTGTGTTTGATTATACTGATTGGACTTGATTAGGAAAGCCACACACCTGTCTATATAAGACCTTACAGCTCACAGTGCATGTCAGAGCAAATGAGAATCATGAGGTCAAAGGAACTGCCTGAAGAGCTCAGAAACAGAATTGTGGCAAGGCACAGATCTGGCCAAGGTTACAAAAAAATTCTGCTGCACTTAAGGTTCCCAAGAGCACAGTGGCCTCCATTCCTTAAATGGAAGACGTTTGGGAAAGTTTATCTTGGTCTCATCAGACCACAGGACATGGTTCCAGTAATCGATATTCTTAGTCTGCTTGTCTTCAGCAAACTGTTTGCGGGCTTTCTTGTGCATAATCTTTAGAAGAGGCTTCCTTCTGGGAAGACAGCTATGCAGACCAATTTTATGCAGTGTGCGGCGTATGGTCTGAGCACTGACAGCCTGACCCCCCACCCCTTCAACCTCTGCAGCAATTCTGGCAGCACTCACACGTCTATTTCCCAAACACAACCTCTGGATATGATGCTGAGCACGTGCACTCAACTTCTTTGGTCGACCATGGAGAGGCCTGTTCTGAGTGGAACCTGTCCTGTTAAACCGCTGTATGGTCTTGGCCACCGTGCTGCAGCTCAGTTTCAGGGTCTTGGCAATCTTCTTATAGCCTACGCCATCTTTATGTAGAGCAACAATTCTGTTTTCAGATCCTCAGAGAGTTCATTGCCATGAGGTGCCATGTTGAACTTCCAGTGACCAGTATGAAAGAGTGAGAGTGATAACACCAAATTTAACACACCTGCTCCCCATTCACACCAGAGACCTTGTAACACTAATGAGTCACATGACACCGGAGAGAGAAAATGGCTAATTGGGCCCAATTTGGACATTTTCACTTAGGGGTGTACTCACTTTTGTGGCCAGCGGTTTAGACATTAATGGCTGTGTGTGGTGTTATTTTGAGGGGACGGCAAATTTACACTGTTATACAAGCTGTACACACACTACTTTACATTGTAGCAAAGTGTCATTTCTTCAGTGTTGTCACACGAAAAGATATAATATTTACAAAAATGTGAGGGGTGTACTCACTTCTGTGAGATACTGTATATACACACACATATACATACAGACCTACATAACACTGATTAAGCTTTGAGTTGTATACATACATTTTTTTAAAGGAAGTTCAAAAGATGTTCATACTGTATTCCACAAAGGTGCTTTTTAATCTATTTTATTTTTTAGAGCAATTCATATTATTGGATGTTTGATTCGTACCTCATTCTTACTGCCTGTCTTGGGGGGTTCCTCCATGTCTGTGAGGGTGGATTGGGTGTCTCTAAGCTGGCTTCTCTTCTGACTCAAAACCTGTTTTAGTTCTGCATGGAGTTTTTCCTTTTGAACCTTGGAAACAAATTTGGAAGTAAGATCGAGAGAAGTTTGAGATTCACATTTCCACATGGCTGGGCTCACAGATTATATTTGTAGTACTCACAATTCGCTCTGGGCTGTCCTGTTCATCAGCGGAGATGCTGTGCTGTGTACTTAGATGAGTGCCAAAGGGAGGCCTGTCTGAGGGAGGAGAGCGTCTTTTGTTGTTTACCTATTTGTAAAGAGGCAAACAAGGCAGACATGAGATCAATAAAATAAAACCTCCATCTTCTATTGGCTTTAAAGTGGTAATGGTTTGACAAGTGCCAACCTACAGGTGAATCTCTGGCTTGTGGATTCCCATGACTGTCCTCTCTGTCAGACTCTGAAATTAGAGCAGGTTTACAATGTCAGGAGCCATCAGTCAAAAGGATTTAACGGTTATAGCGCATTTAGTCCTATTTAGACCAGATACACTATGTAAAAATAAGTACACTTAGCATATTTTTTAAAATACTTATTAAAATTATATATTTTAAAAAGAATATACTTGTTTTCAGAAACTTACAGTAATTGCATGTTATTTACAATTAAATGAAATGCATTAGTTTAAATGTTATAATATATTAGATGCAATTAGTTGAACTTTCGACCCACTTAAAGGGTTAGTTCACCCAAAAATGAACATTCTGTCATTAATTACTCACCCTCATGTCGTTCTAAATCCGTTAGACGTCTGTTCATCTTCGGAACACAAATTATCAATGTTTTTTTGATGCATTCTGACAACTCTCTGACTCTCCCATAGACAGAAAGGGTACTACCCCGATCAACGTCCAGAAACGTAGCAAGGAGATCGGTAAAATAATCCTTGTGACATCAGGGGTTCAATCGTAATATTACAAAGCTACGAGAATATTTTTTGTGCGCAAAAGAAAAAAAATAACGACTTTATTCAACAATTTGTCTCCTCTGCCCTAGCGCCATTTTAGAGAATATACACTGAACGCAAACAGCGGCTGACACAAAACAACATGCGTTGTTTGTGTTCAGTGGATACTCTCCAAAATGGCGCTACAGGGTGACGCAGAGGAGACGAATTGTTGAATAAAGTCGTTTTTTTTTTTTCTTTTGCGCACAAAAAATATTCTCGTAGCTTTGTAATATATGGTTGAACCCCTAATGTCACATGGATTATTTTACCGATCTCCTTGCTACATTTCTGGATGTTGATCATGGTAGTACCCTTGCTGTCTATGGGAGGGTCTGAGAGCTCTCAGAATGCATCAAAAATATCTTAATTTGTGTTACGAAGATGAACGGAGGTCTTACGGGTTTGGAACGACATGAGGGTGAGTAATTAATCACAGAATTTTCATTTTAGTTGAACAATCCCTTTAAGTACATCTTCTATACTTCTATTGTCTTTGAAATATGGTTAAAGTGTATTGCCGAATGTACTGACAAGCATTTATTAACTTTAAATGGAATATCGAATAACACACTACAGATAAAATTATAATCCAGTACTTTACCTGTGCTTTGGTATGTTAATCAACACATCAAAATAAGTGTACATTTAATTTGGCATTATTACGAAGTGCACTTTTTAAAGTGTGTTAAGAAATGAAAGTATCACTTTAAGTACACTTAAGTGTACATCTTTAAGTACATTTTCACAAGTACAGTTTTTAGAAAATACACTTTTAAGATTTGAAGTACAAGTGTTCATTCAATACAATCAAGTTCAAAGGTATTAAGAGGCATTTTATGCATCACTTGCTTCATCAAATGTGTTGCTGCATGGTTATGATAAGCAGAAAAAAAAATTAAAAGGAAAATCATGTTTCTGCTTTACACAATTTGCTATCCTCTTGAAACTTTTCAAACTCATTCAATGAAATTACAGGGCCTCCGCAGCTTTGCCTATAGTGCAAACCTGTCACTATATCAACTGTGCGGTTATCTATGAGACTAAAAAAATCCTGTCCCACCATAAATCAAGTTGCCATCAGGTTAGTAGGCCTGCAAACGGTGTCCTCTCTCTGCATGGTTTTCATTCCTCATTCGGCAGTGGTGTCTGGTATCTGTCGTAAGAGTGTGTAACCAACATTAAGAAATCTGTAGACTAGCGAGCGGGTAATTTCTTATGACATCCACACTGGATAACCTGTTACACAGGCACACATAACACTAGCAGGTGCTCTTTTATCGTGCTGTGCCAGCTGTGTACGACTGTGTTTCCTGACCTTTTTTGTCTCATTTAGCACCACACCTCATCAATAAGACTGCAAGACAATAAAATGTGTGTAACTTGCGTTATACTACGCATCTTTTAATATAAACAAGTGCATCTCAATAAATTAGAATGTCGTAGAAAAGTTAATTTATTTCAGTAATTCAACTCAAATTGTGAAACTCGTGTATTAAATAAATTCAATGCACACAGACTGAAGTAGTTTAAGTCTTTGGTTCTTTTAATTGTGATGATTTTGGCTCACATTTAACAAAAACCCACCAATTCACTATCTCAACAAATTAGAATACTTCATAAGACCAATAAAAAAAACATGTTTAGAGAATTGTTGGCCTTCTGGAAAGTATGTTCATTTACTGTACATGTACTCAATACATACCCTCCTTGTGAAGGGTGTCAATGATTGTCTTCTGGACTACTGTCAGATCAGCAGTCTTCCCCATGATTGTGTAGCCTAGTGAACCAAACTGAGAGACCATTTTGAAGGCTCAGGAAACCTTTGCAGGTGTTTTGAGTTGATTAGCTGATTGGCATGTCACCATATTCTAATTTGTTTAGATAGTGAATTGGTGGGTTTTTGTTAAATGTGAGCCAAAATCATCCCAATTAAAAGAGCCAAAGACTTAAACTACTTCAGTCTGTGTGCATTGAATTTATTTAATACACGAGTTTCACAATTTGAGTTGAATTACTGAAATAAATGAACTTTTCCACAACATTCTAATTTATTGAGATGCACCTGTATTATGTATTATATATAAGCCGTCTGCCTGAGGTTAGCATATTTTTTCAATTGTTTTCAATGAGAGCGCCATGTTTTTAAAAAAACGGTAGCAGCGTGACAAGGTGGTGAGCGTCTATATCACGCTGAGCGCTATGCACATGGTGGGTTTTTTTTCTGGTCACTGAGAGTTGGAAAATGTTCAACTTTGGGTAAAATGCAGCGCTCCTCAATATCACTTTTTACCCAGCCATCCAATCACAGTGGATGAGGGTGGGATAAATATCACCAACCTTCACATTCTACTTGTACAATGACTGTAAATATTGCTGATCTCTGAGTATCCATGTCTGTACCAGATGACATATGGCCTGAATTGATATTAATATAAAAAATACTGCTTGGAGGAACATTTCATTTACCATGGCTCTAGCTAAACGCTGCACCTCAAAAGCGGGCTCAAGTGTCCACAGCTGGCCGTTTTCAAAAGAGCTCCTGCCATTTTCAGCTGGCTTAAAATGCTTTGGTGGACACGTGGCCTTACAGTCACTTTTATCAAATAAAAACACTTGACACTGGTTGAAAAAATAGACTTTTGTTTTCTTTTAAAAGGAACTGGAAAAATTATGCAAAAATCATATTTTTATATGCATGTCTGTGTGTCTGCAACAGTGTTATTTTAGTATTATTTATATACTATTACAGTTTTTATTCATATTTTGAATTAGCTTTTATTTTTATATTTTCAATTTTCATTAGAATTTTAGTTACATTTTTTGTGTTTTTTAAGTATTACTACTTGGGTATAATTTATTCAATTTATTTCTAATTGTAATAGTAATTTTACAGCTTCAACTCAAACAAAAGTTGGTTGCCATGAAAACATTACTAATTTTAGTAGTTAAGAACAAAATTACTTTTTAGTTTTACTTAAAGGGGTCCTATTATGCTCTGTTACAAAGTCTTGATTTTGTTTTGGGGGTGTACTAGAACAGGCTCTCATACTAGGTTTCGAAAAACACATTATTTTTCACATATTTTACATTATTACAACACCTCTCTCCCCAGTCTGGCATGAACGGCTCGAATAGTTCCTGTATCAAATGAAGCCCCGCCTTCTGAAACACGAAATGTGCTGTGATTGGTTACCTGTGTGTATTGTGATTGGCAGCACTCGGCACCTGGTCGGGAAATGTCATGTCCCTTACCATAGCCGCCTGCGAGCTTCAGTGTAAATATTGCGTCAAAATCAAATCAATTTGAGCGTGATTTAAGCCCGGATGATTGTAACCACTCTAAGTTCGTCTGCCTTGGGGAAACTAGTGCGTCTCCGACATAGGGCTAACCCTCATTGTCTTCTTTAGTGCAGCTCAACCAGGTCTCGTCCCATTCGTCGATCTTTGTGATATCACAAATCCCGGAAAATATGCGTTGCAGTCCAAACGAGTCGTTCGTTGTAGTTTTTGAAAAGTGATTTCTGTTAAATAAAATATCTCCTTTTGAATTGGACTTTGAGCTTTGTAACTATGCAGATCTTTTTTATGCTCAAACAGCAACATTACAGACTTACTAAAGTTGAAAAAGTAAAAAAAGCATAATAGGACCCCTTTAACTTTAATCCTGGTCTGGGATGGACTGGCCATCCATCCAGGGCTATCCATTCCCTGTCTAAAACCCAAAACGCTGGGAGAGAATCCAGCATCCCCTCGTTAGGACAGTCGATTTAGAAAATGGATAGATGGATGTCTTGTGTGTATATTTATGTGTGTGTTTTTGAGTGAAAGAGGCAGCTGTTCCCTAGTGATGCTATGTGTGTCCAGAGGAGGGGACAGAAGGCTGGAATGGTGCTGCACATATGTGATCTTTATATAAATACGCGCTGGCCTGACCTACATGTGCTTGTGTAATGACAGAGCTGTTCAAACTAGAGCTCCTGCAAATGCTGCCAAGCAGTAGGCAAGCTGGGTACACATCAGTCAAACTCAACGGCAGTTTATGAACGCTCTTAAATTATATAATGCATACCTGATGTACTTTAGAAAGAAGCTGAGAAACAAAAAAGTTGTCTGGAAGTAAGAAAAGCTAATTTATGCAATTTATAACAAAAGTTCAGGAGATTAATGGCTCTGATTCATGGGTACTGATGCGTAACATAGAGAACAGTGATAGAGAGGGAAATTAAGATGTGATTTTCCAGTTCCTTACGAAATTTGTTACTTATGATCATGAAAAATGTTTTGATTTAAATACCTACATTTAATATGAATTATTTATATAAACATAAAATGTTTTGTATGAAATGCATAATAATGTTTTTTTTTTATTCTGTTATATTTTTTCATTTATTTATCTATTTTGTTTGGTCAATACATAATTCCCAAACTTCCATTTATATTATTTTTGATAG